ATTATCTTGTAATATTCAGACATTATTTTACTGGGGACGGAAAGGAGAGTTGTATACTAGCTACCATATCCGATTGATTTCCTAATATAAAAATTTAAAAACAAAAGTTGTGTCGTGGTTTTCTTTAGTTATCGGACAAAACGTGAGTCGCTAGTCGCCAGCTGGCGACCAGTTCTGAAAATTTAGTCGCCAGTGCTCAGTTTTTGGTCGCATTGGCGACTAGTGAGTCGCAATTTCGAGCCCTGAACTCCATTGTCATCGTCGCCGTCGCCGTCGCCGTCGCCGTCGTGCATACATGCCCACGAGTAATACCACTAGCCATGATAACCATGAGAAAATCAACTCATGGGTTTCCTTTTCTTTCCTATATGAGTAAGGGGCTGTGCTATAAAGTAAGCTAAGTATGTCACTTAGTACCCTGACTTGGGCTGTTGCTCTCATTATCAGGGAAGGTAAAATAAAATACTGAACGAAAATGTTTGCGTTCCGTTTTTTGCTTGTCAGGAATAGTTCATTACAGTCTTACAAATGCTCAGTTGAGTACTGTAGTGACAAAACTATAATCACATCAAATATTTCATATTTTTCTTGAACTTACTCAACATCTGCCATCTTTTCCAGCAAGAGAATTCTGATTTTCTGAGGGAAGTTGACTGTAACAGAGAAAAAAAAAAACTGTTACTATGAAAACATTCAGCCATGATACAAATTACAAAGTTTTACATAGTATGCATGAAAGAATATCCTCCAAGCGTTCTCTACATTTTTCATTTCTCTCAAGGTTCAGTAGCTTGCATGCAGACATCTTCTATTGCCTTTGTGGACCATAATTTATATACTATAAAGTGTCCATCGAAACCCTCGATTGACACTTCATCGATTTCTCAACCGATCCTTGATGGACATTTCAATCGATACTCATTTGATACTTGGTCGACACTAGGTCAACACTTCGTTGCCACTCAATCAACATCTTGATTGACACCTGATTGACACTCAATGGACACTCTGTCAATGGTCGGTCAATTAACCAACTCATACATGTATGCACTGTATTGATCGACACTCGATGGCATGTCTGTGAACTGAACAAATCGTATGTGGTTTAGCATCGTCTGTACTCTTATCGACAATGATACGTATCCTCACAGTAGACAAAACAAATGTTGGCCACTGTGATGACGCATATCGTTGTCAATAAGAGTGCAGACCACGCTAAACCATATTTCAATAATTTATAATCTATAATAAATAATTTATGATAAATTTATAATTTATAATAAATAATATTTTATTGTCTTTTACCACAATATCAACGTCAAAGAAAATGTGTTTTTTTCAGAGCACGAGCTGAAAAAGGCACTGCGTGACACATTGACACAAGCAGTGTTGTCTGGACTATTATTGACAATGGCAAATAAGCCAATCAGATTTCAAGATTAGTAGCAGTTGTGGTAAAAATTAGTGTTGATCGAGGGTCAATAGAGGGTATCGATTGAGGTATCGATCGACACTGAACCATGGATATATACATGATCTCCCTTTGTTAGAACTAGTATATATAAGTGGTGAAGCTGTATGAACTGTGTGCATTTTGGGGAAAGCTACATGCATTCTGCATTTGCTAAGTTCCAGTCTGGATGAAAAATAGAGAATGTTTGCATTATGTTGCGAGAAGACAAGTTATAACTTTATTGACTGACCTCTATGAACATACAAGTGCACGTCAGTCAGAATGTCTTGAAGTGCCAGTCCCTTCAAAGTTTTAATCTTCATTATATCTGGTGGAAGGTCAAGAATGAATGCAATGTAGAAATCTAGTTACTGTAAATAAAGGAGCTATGTCACAGATCACAGACCTTGGCCATTTTTTCAAATTTGTCCTTTGTTATCTGTCTAAATCATCCTCAGTTGTAACCACCCTTATTCCTGCTCAGTTGAAAGAACTACACACTGTATTTTGATTTCTACATGTACATTAGAAGACCATTATGTTGTGGTTTCCTTAAACAGGGTGAAAAAAAAAAAAACATTCCTTGAACTATAAAGCTATGATCAATGACTAGTCCAAACATCATTCTCACCGGCCCCTCAAAAATTACTAGGAAGATTAATTAACTTAGAATTAAACTAATAGAGTAAATTCAGTTCTTAAAGTACTTCTGTAATTTAAATTTCTTTAAAAAGTTTCTCAAACAAATTTCACTTGCCCATCAGTCAAGTTAAGTATGCATGTAGAATCTACTAGCCAGACTGCAAAATCCACTACTCCCAGGTGTTGCTGAAAAACTAACTTTGAGGTCATGACAGTATTACAACTGGAGAAGGATACTATTGTAAGCAGTACTGAAATCCTCATTGAGCATCCACTCCACTATGTTTGCAATGTCTGATCGCAGAGGTTGGCCTGTACATGTGTAGACATTCACTTCATTTACAGTGTCAAAGGCCATAGCTGTGCTCTAAAAATAGATCAATAAAATGCATCAGTTTAGAACTGCTAAGTAGTTTCCTCTACTCAAAATTACTGTACCCAAAGAAATATAAAGAAGAACTTCATACTGACCTGAAGAATATTTAGAGCTTTCCTCATATCACCATTTGCCAGCCTGACCAGGCTTTTCATTCCATCATCTGAAACTTGAACTCTAAAAACAAACCCTGATGTTCACAATACATCATAGCACATAACTAGGGATGTAGAACAGCCAAGTGTTTCCTTTGGTGTGCTGTTTCATAGATTCAGAGGTGCAGGACTAAGCTAAGGCAATTTTCTGTTACAGTGCCTTTGCTTGATGAGCCAGTATTATTGAATACATGTATATAGAGACAATGGAATTTCTCTCCAAGTGTAGTTCGAAAAATTGTGTTGAACACAAGACACAATGATTTCTTAAGATGCAATCTTTTCTGGATGTTTTTGAGGATTGTTGAAGATTGCTGAAAGATCTGAAGATTGTGAATATAGTCTTGCAAACATCTTGAAACATTTAAAGGAATATTTCAAGGATTGCTGACAGAAGTTTCCAGGAACACTGAAGAAGGTAGATGTATCAGAAGATTGCTGAAGACTGGTGAGAAAGGCCTAAGTATATTCTAAATATAACTGTACCGACAAAGACAATTTCATTTGACTTGCAAAAAAATTAAGACACTTAAAAAAAATTATAATAAAATTAGGGTAATTATTATCCTAATTTATGATTATTGTTATTATTATCATAAATTTATTTCCACCTTCAGTTATGCTCTTTTTAAGTACTATGAAATTCTTCTAAAAGTGCAGGTTTTGCATAACCTGTACATTTAAATAAGAAACTCACCCCTCACTCTTGATAACATGTTCCAGTCTACTTGTCATCTGTTCATTGTCAAGAGGTCCAAATCTAAATCTTGTGCAGCGTGACTGGAGAGCTGGAATAATCTTGGTCAGGTAGTTGCCAATCAAACAGAATCTTGTATTCTCTGTAAACTTCTCCATCACTGCAAGAAAAGATGACCACACGTTACAGTGTGAGTCATATACATCCTGTACACCTAATTGAAGAAAACTTATCATGAAAAAGGTATAAACCATAAATGATACCAACTTGCAGACTGATACTAATTTGCATTCTTATGAACCATGTACCAGGGGCATAGCTAGAGGGGGTCCTGGGGTGCCTGTGACCCGCCCTCCCCCTTTTGTAAGCCTTTTTAAGCAAACAACCTACAACAAGTGGGGAAAATGACATAGCAATCTGGTGAGTACCCTCACTTTGACACAGTGTGAGCCCCCCTTTGAAAAATCCTGGCTACCCCCCTGAAATGTACATGCTTTAAAACCAAGAGACGATGATCATCTCTCTCCTGAATAAAACAGATCTTGTGTTCCCTAACTATACTTTTGAAAACTTGGGCACTTCTCAAAGCTCTTAAGAGTTCAAGCTTTCTTTTGTGTTCTAGCTTAGCTACCTTTAGGAAGACATGACAGTTTCTATGTTTTTCTAAATCATCACTTAAGGCAGCTGACCTGTGATTATTAAATGCCACGAGGAAACAATCTTGAATAGTCATGATCATGTGCATTCAACATTTTTTTTTCTTTTTTTTTCTGCTCAGGTGCACAGGTAATGGTAGTCACTGATGTTCATGAGTTAAAATTAATCTGAGTTGACCATACCCAGTGTTTCAGCCGGAAAATTTTTCTTGAGGGCCAAAGTGGCCCCTGAAGATCTTTTTCAGGGGCCAATTTTTTAGGAGAGGGGCCAATAAACTGAAAGCTACAAAAGGAAAAATGCGTCAGGGTACCAAGGAAAATAAAGCAGTTTATTAGGATCTAGGATAAAATTTAATAATAAGTGCTTTTTGAAGTGTTTCCACTCAATAAATTTCTTTTGAATCAGATACTAGTATGATCCGTGCATTACAAGAGAACAGTCCTTAGGCATACATAATGTAGTCAATGATCAAGGGTTTGCAATGCATTATAGGACGATTTCAAACTTGGAAGTTTTCCGATGTGAGATAAATACAGCAGAGGAAAAGGATGGATTGACTTGTTTTCTTATGTTGAATGTTTTAGAAGCAAAGATCTTTCAATATGATTTTCTAGAAGGACATAATGTGTGACATAATAACCAGATTGATCGTCAACACAGAGAAATGTAGTTGCCATTATGGTGACTAAACCAGAATTTTTGCCGAATTTTGGTCGCCAAGGATGAAGTGTTAGTTACATTGGTGACCATATCGGTCGCAATTTCAAGCCCTGGGATGGCTTTTAAAATACTACGCCGGGTTAAGCCTGTAGTCTTGTAAAAGGAAAGGGCCAAATTGGCCCTTTCTTTGTTTTTCTGGGGGCTATCTCTGATTGCAACGCGGGATTCTGGCAATGGTGCGCTCTGGCGGAAACACTGCCATACCTCTTCTTAAAGCATTCTGAGCATCCTGCGTCATGGCATCTGCTTCGTCCAATATCACTAGCTTGAAGCCAGACCTGCAGGCACCAATGAAATTTTGAATAAATGCATGTACACCAAACTGTTACATGGTAACATGTGTGGTACAATATGTAGTGATGGCCTTATACCGATGTCATATCAAATAATAAGTAGAACTTGAAAATATAACTCACTTAAAAATTGTCCTTGTACTTGCAAAACTTAGAATGGCTCCACGAACAATTCCAATACCTCGATCATCTGATGCATTCAACTGCAAGAAAACAGTTAGACCAGAGCATAAGCACTATTAAACAATAAATGGAGATCATAAGCCCCTCAAGTTATAAGCCCCTACTATTGTAGGCCCATCTGTGTGTTTGTTCTGTCTGGTACTAAGCTCCTCTGGATATAAGCCTTCTTTCATCACAGTTATTAAATATTATTAAATGAAACAGAGTTACTCATTTCTTCCCAGAATATCATATATCAAATAGCAAAAGGTAATAAGAAAGTTTATATGGAGAGTAAGAATCAAAAAACTTAATCACCAGAATGCTTATGTTGTATGGTCAACTTATTTCAGTAAAATACTCCTCCAGTATTAAGCCCACACAAAATCCCTTATATGAAGATTATAAGCCCAGGCATTTTAAGTATATTCCTACCTCAAGAACCATGGAGTTGAACTCGCGTGCAGAATAGATCTGTTTGGCGACAGCTAATATGGTGGAAGTCTTTCCAGTACCAGGTGGACCATAGAACAACAGATGAGGCAAACGATCTTCCTCAATGAACCTTTTGACTATTGAGAAACAAGAATAGGTTACATTTTACGTACAATGTATCAATTATGCACATTGCAAATACATATTATGTACACGGTACATGTATACTGGGAAGCATGCATGGATTAGCTGGGGCACTGGAGAAATAAAAATAGCAGCCAAACATAAGTCTGTGCTGATTTGTGGTTTATTTAGCCTTTTTCAACCTGGCAAAGCTTAAATACTTGCAAAAAAATAGCACTTACATGTACAAATGTAGTTATTCATCAAATAAATGAGCTTTTGTGATAGGGACCTCACAGATTCCGGACCTGTCTAGGGAAAGCCCAGCCAAGCCCAGTCCCCACCAGGGCCTACCTATATGATTCCATATTTTCTTGCATTGCAAGCAGAGCTGTTAACTATGGGGTGTCAACAAGGGCCGTAACTTGTAACACCTGTTCACAGCCGAGTATGTTTGATAGGCCGTTGATGTTATGGATAAGCCTGCCTGAAGTTGGTAAAATCCATCCATAACGTAACAAGTTTGTTACGGGTGTGAAGATGGAGTCGTAGTCGGAGTCATAATCAGAAGTGTAGAGTGATACGATCTAGTGAAAATCAAACTGACGGAGTCTGAAGCAGAACACCCACTCTGCTTATGACTCCATTGCTTACAAGCTAGTGAAAACTTAACTGTCGGAGTCAGAAGCGGAAGTGGAAGAATAAACCAATCACAACGTTTGATCCCAGGCCTTGTGATTGGTTGGTTCTTCCGCTTCTACTTCCAACTCTGACCATCTAGTTTTCAGTGGATCATAAGCGATGGAGTCGTAAACGGAATTGGAAGAAATGGAAATGTTCTGATTCTTCCTACGCTGCTTACGGGGGAGGGGGGGGGGGGGAAGAAACACGGTACTCCAGGTTGTTTCATGTCAATGAAACCATGATAACCTATGGCTGTATGGTTAATGTAGACTACCTTTTTTCTACCCCTAACTTCTTTGTTTGCTACATACCCAGTATAAACTGAAGACAAAGGGAGATAACGGAATATTATTTTACTTTAGCTTAACAAATTAATTCAAGAGGTAAGCTCACTTGTTGTGATAATATCCCTGTGAGAGATTAGATCTTCTAAGCTGTTTGGTCTGTATTTTTCAACCCTATCGAGTAAGAAACATGTGCATGTTATGAACAAAGCTCTAAGAAAGCTTTTCCTTTGAGCAGATCAACAGCAAAATTTTGAATATAGGCGGAGCTGGAAATAATTTTTATTCGAAAATGGAAAGTGCACTAAAGCTTAAAAGGGTCAACTTCGTCAACTTACCATGGAAGATTTCGTTTTTGCTCGGAAACGGACTCGGAAACGACCATTTTATCCGGGTGGGAGTCCCTCGCTTTGTTCTCGTCTCACAAAATACAATTCAAGTCGTCAACTGGCAACTTGTTATGACACACAAGACCTTTAGAATCTCCAAAATTTAAAAGAGGCTACCGATCAGACTACAACCTTCCATCACCCGCCATCTTGTTTAATTTCCCGCCAAACTAGTGGAACGCATACCCAATAAACTTAGACCGCTGACATATTGAGATGACGTTTCAATTTAGCCACAGGGTACCCACGAATCAAATTGGTGTTTCCGTGTACCTCTCGTTAGCTGAAGATACATCTATACCTCAAATTTGCCCCCCGGGATCTCGGGCAATTTATTATGTCTAAAAGTATTACCTTGGATATCAGATGGCTTGCGAATTACATGCACGTCGTGTATTAGGAACGTTCGTTAAATTACCATCTTCATTTATTGTTTTTTTTTTTTGGTCCTGCAAAAAATCACCAAAATGACTCAAAAGTACAGCAATCGAATTCAGGGAAAGACGCTGCCCTTCCTTCACTCTGTTAGTGTTTTGGGCATCCCTTCTGGGGATACCCAAATCACTAGGGATTGGGCTCATACGGGGATACCCAAAACTAAGCTTAGAAGCCTCTACTTTGGGTGCAATTAAAAGAATACCGCATCTTGTTCCTTTAATGTTTTAATTGATGTATATAATAGCTTACTTCAGCCATATTTTGATTATTGTAGTGTCGTCTGGAGAAACTGCGGTGTCGACCTTTCTGAAAAACTACAGAAGCTCCAAAACCGCGCAGCCCGTATTTTAATGTATGCAAGCAATGAAGACGATATTGATAAGCTGTTCCAGGCAATCGGCTGGCCAAAGCTTAGTCATCAAAGGTTAGTAGCCACCTCTGTTACGATGTTGAAAACTTTACACGAATTGACCCCTGAATATCTACAATCTCGAATCGTATCTCGAAATGATATTATTTCGTGTCGACTGAGGAATTCTGAAAATAAACTGGCTCTTCCACAGCCCCTGCATCAATTATTTAAAGAGATGTTCTTCCTACAGGAGTGCTATGTTGTGGAACAGCCTTCTCATGAACTCCGATCTACGGTTTCTTTAGGCAAATGTAAACGTAAAGTGCTTCGTTACAGCTTTAAATGAGACATGGCATCCTTGGAAAGCAACTTTGGTGATATGATAAGTTTTTATTCTCATAATACTATATTAATTGTTAGTTAGTTTAGCTAGGCAGCCTTAGATATTTTAACTTTTAAACTGTGCTGAAGGAATTTTTACCGTGTATAAAAAAAGTTTTGAATCAATCAATTCGAACGGGGGAAAGGGGGGGAGGGAGAGGGGGAGGAGGAGGGAGCAGGGATGAAATGCGACCATGTCTCACCTTTTCTCTTACCCTACTCCTGCCCCGTTTACGCCTGCAACACACGGCTGCCAAAACTTGGAGATACCCAAATCACCGTGACACCGGTAATTTCCCATTAGAGGAATGAGTACTAGCAACCCTGGGCCTTACAATTACAGAGTTTTCATTTTTCACTAGCGCATAACCATAGTCAAAAGTAGCAGAAACAGAAGCAGTAAGATGTTGATAATTAGTGCCTTTTGTTGGGAAAATGTCCTAACAGAAGGCGATATATACTTACCTCGCGCTCTTCCTGCTCAAGTTTTGAGCGTCGCAGACATTTTTTCGCTTTCCTAACTCGGCTCTGGCAGCTCAATGACTTGTGTAAGTCTACATAACAGCATCTTGCTACTTCTACGTATGTTGCATCCGCCTGGGGTTGCGCGCTCTCTGGTGAAAACCAGCTCTAAGGGGCAATAGCTCGAAAATGGTCGCACTCTAGTGCAGGACCGTAAATTTTTCTTTTGTCAGTATCACCGTTTCTACAAATCGATCGTCTTGTCCAGGCCAAACGCAAACAATAACAATTCACGTCTCCTGATCATGAGTCTTGGATGTTTTAGCTGATTCGTGTTACATCACAAGTTTTTTGTGGTTGTTTCGTTTCTCTCATTTCTTCTTGGTTAAATATTCTTTAAAACTGTACTGTGTACATTTTTTCTTTTTTAATAACTTGTTTACCCAATACAGCTAAGTGTAACTGTTATACCAAAGAATGAAAGTCATCAAGTAACGTTTAAACACTATCAAATGCTTTACATCATATTGTAAGCCGACCTAAATAATTAACACTACTTTTTACATGCATACACGTATTCATTTTATTTCAATATGTTCTAAATGATTTTTTTTTAATAGTAAACACCTGACGTATGGTACAACAAAAATTTGTTAACTGGCTATTTTATATATAAACCGGTAATTAAATACTTGACTACAATGTTGATGGCAATAAATCAGTCTCATTTCCGCAGCAAGATGCCAACGAGATAAGAGATAACAGAATATGTTAGTAGTCCAGCGTAGGGTTCAGGTGCAAGCACAGTTTCAATTCAGAACCATGTTAACACATTTTAAATCTAAGGAAATTAATAAATCATGTTAACAATTTTCTGGGTTAGGTTATGTTAGTTTTGTCATTGCAAGTCAATGTGGTTGAATCTTAGCTAATCTTGCACAAATTATTTCTTCATTAAAAAAATTGAGTTCTGGTTTCAGCTTGACATAAATACTCTAATGCTGAGACAGACTAATAGTAATATTTACAGAAAACGGGTCTAAAGTGAGATAAATTATACGTTTATATATTTAACGAGATGCGAGATGAATGAAATAATCTTTGATGCCTGAGTATGTTTTCTATCGCTAAACCTTAATTTCCTCTGTCGTTTAACATCAGTAAAAACTGAATTTTGCACTCAGAGTCTGGGATCCTCGTATAGCAACTGATGACTTTAAGCTCACTTCAGTTCTCACCACAGAAAACAACTGCTTCCTGAAATACACATACCGTGTTTGTTTCAAATTATGAAACCCTCTAATTAGCACAAAATTACTTGTATGTATTCTAAAGTTTTGTACTCATAAGGATATAAAGAATTTAACTTAAATTTTATCTACCAGCTTTTCTCGCAGTAATTTTTGGAAAGTTTTCTACAAACGTAAGACTTGCATATTACATAGTTTTAGCAAGTACAGGGTCCTGAAGGGGTAAAATGGGAAACTGGGATTGGCCTGTTTCCACCCTGGGAAAATGGGATTTAAGTCACTGTAAGTGAGATTTGGTCACTGAGAATGGGAAAAAAATGTCAAAAATGAAAATGGGAAAAACATGATATATTTTGTCACCATGACCAGTCGAGATATCACTTATTTCCTGTGAGAGAAAAACGTCGAGATCGTAATGTGCATCTCTTACTGATTCGGAGTCAGGTTCTCTCAAGCTCATTAACAGCAGGAAAGGAATGGCCGGATTCCTTCAAAATTAAATTAAGAGATGTTAGTCAGGGCTTTTGACATCCATTCCAGAAAAAAAAAACAAAACAAAAAAACACCACTTACAGGACCTCTTCATACCATCGACCAAGGAATCAAGATGGTTAAATTGTGCTGCAGTACGTGCCAGCATATGAGGTTTTTTTTTTTTGCCAGCATATAAGGTGCTACGATCTTTGCATGAATCGTTTATCACCGATAGCCCTGTAGTTAGTACTATATCCAATAAGTGTTTGAAATCCCTCGAAATTTTGAGGTTCTTCTGATCTGAAGAAGTCTCTTAATGGACCGAAGCCAGCATACAGGACTTGTCGCCAAATTTTAAGAGAGAGGCAATGTATGAATATGCGATGGTGTTTGGCACATCAGTTGAAGAAGCAGTGAAAAGTGTTTCAAATTAAAGTGGGCAGCAGCTTACTACGCACATCCAAACTGATATTGCAAACTGCCAACATCACATACAGTTTCCTTACCTCGCATCAAAATTCCAAAGCCAACCTCATAGGAGATAACCAGAAATGAGCAAGCTGAAATGAGGGCCTGGGCTCAGGTGCATGGTAAATCCATCAGACAACGAAATGTAACACGAAATAACACAATGGACAGGGCCGACACTTTGCCTCTGAACTTATATGAAACTGAAACGGTCTTGAAATTAGTCAATCTGAATTCACTGAAAGGCGTAGAAAGAGTTTCAAGCAAAAGTGATGAGCCGGGTAGTTCAAATGAGGGTGCCAGTAATTACTACCAGAGTCTCCTAACGACGTGGTAGACAGCTTAAGTGTGAGTGGCAATGACAGTGACTCTGAAGTAGAGGTTGACAGCGCTGTTGAAACAACGCTAAGCGTGATCCGTCCGACCAGGCTCCGAGATATAAGAACACCAAAATTTTTGTAGACAGGAAAGATACGAATGTGAAGTAGCAGGAACTTGTAACCTAACTAATCAGTATACCTTCCCAACTTACATGCTTCAGTACAGTCTAAAACGATCCTATTATCATCAGAACATCTTCGCAAATCCTCGAAATTGCGAATTTTTGTGTCTTTGTTGGGTCGTATTTAGAAGCCATAATTTTGCGGATGTGAAGAGTAAAATGAAAAGAGACACTGGGATTTCTTGCAGAATTCTGCCTATGGGAATGGGATTTTAGCACTGGGAAGAGGGACTTGGGAGAAAAATATGGGCTGGAAAATGGATTTGGTACCCTTCCCCCGCACCCGGCCCCCTCCCCCTTCCCCTTCAGGACCCTCCAAGTAAACCCATTAAGGGACGTTGAGGTTTAGCATCGATCTCGGAGAATGGAGCAGAATATGGTTCAATGAAACCTAGGAGCTTTCAAAAACAAGGCTAGGAGAGTAATTACACCAATCAAAACTGACACAATCAAGAACAGCCTGTCCAACACACGAGCCGCCTTAATCCACTCCTTCTGATGTCTCCTCTTCTCTGGAGAGAGTTCCATTTCGCCAGCATTCTGAAAAAGGTCGAGTAGTACTGAGGACGAGGTGACGGAGGAGCTTTGTTTGGCAGGGCTCTGGCGACGAGAGTAGAGCTGATCTCTCGAGGTCTTTCGTCGACGCTTGTTTCTATAGTTAGAAAAATTCGTTTTTCTGTTGTGACTGGTATACTTGGGTCTGTTTCCCGATATGCCATTGGTTGGTAAACCAAACTCGTTTTTGTTTTGTAATGGGATCCACGGATCGGAATAAGTGGAGGATATCTTGGACTCATTGCGTTCAAAAAGCGAATCAGCATAAGACAGCGAAGCTTTCTCACTGTCGGAGCCTTGATCTCCCAGCCCCTCATGGCTTGAGTTTCTCTTGTATGCTGCGTTCGAGGCTTCGATGAATGACGAATCGACGTTCCAGTCTTTGGCATTTTTTTGCGGGAACGCCACACGAGCAAGCCATTTCAAGATCAAAACTCTCAGAGCCCTTGGCATTGGTCGGCTGTTACGATGATAGAAGTTTAGTATGAGAGTGGTGACAACTAAAGAAGCACCGATCTCGATCATGCAAGCGAAGTAATACTGCCCTAGCAGAGGAAAACCGTATGATGGCATAAGCTCGGAACTGAGTTGTTGAAACACCGTCATGGCCAAAAGAACTGTGATACTCAGTCCAATGCGTTCACCGGACTCAGGTGGAAGAACAAACCCTAAAAATATCATGGAAGAGATCAGCGAGCATGGAATGATCAGTTTGAGAATGAAATCCAGAGATTCACGCTGAAGTCGGATCTTTACAGTGACATCTACGAACTCGTGTGGGCAACATTGATATTTGAGTTTGTTTCGTTGCGATTTCAGGACTGTTAACTTCCATTCTCCATTTTTAACATAGTTCGTGTTCAACATATCGCCTCCGTGTGCATAGAGATCCACTTTTGAGCTGTCAAAAGACCACGAACCGAACTTGAGGATGCATTCCTGATCATCGAACGGAAAATACGTGACGTCAACTTTGCAAATGCTTTTGAAGATGGCGGGATTCAACCACGTGGCATTCCCGTCGTATTTCATGGCAACGTTGGTTTTGTACGTGTATCTTCCACCGGCAAAACGGTCTTCGTCGTCAACACTAAAGAGAGTCAAAAATATACTAGTTCTTCAACGTTTTCGAATGTTATACCATGGAAAATCCAACGACTCACTTGCATTTCCTCAGTGTACATACTGACAGGAGGGATATTCCATGGTGTATAACGAGAGAACGTTGAATAACTATTTTACACCATGTCATAGAAAATACACTGGCCAGCACAATCAATGCAACATACACGTGGCGCATGATGCCGGAAAGTAGGATGTAATATATACCGTCGAATATAAAACGGCTTTCCTGTATTTTGATTGGCTGTATTTTGTTTGGCATGGTATAAAACAGCCTGTATAAGAATTATATCGAGAAAAGTTCTTAAAATGATGTTCAGAAAAAGCTTTGCGAAAGGTCCGGAGACATTATGGAAATTTTGGCAACTAACGATGGGTCACTAATCTCGTTTCTAGAGTGTCCTTTTACGATATGGTTGACCTTAAAGAGATAAGGGCGCGTACGGAGGTTGCATGTAGCTCTAAGTTAACCCTAAAGTCTCTGTATGTTACGCAATAGTCTTAGGCCAAAAAGTACTCGTACAAACCACTGCACTCTAGTCCGAGTGGAGCAAGAAAGTTTTTTTAAGAAAGGAAAAACAGGTTTCTTACGTTCACGTTTTGTAAGTTCAAAAGGCATTTTAGCCATAGAACATGCAGCTTGTATGTAAAGTGACGATCAAAATCGGGATAGAGTTACGTACAAGTATACTGAAAGCTATAGTATCGTAGTATAGTATATCGTCGTTTTACCGTTTATAAAAGTTAAAGACAGGAATTCGGCCAAAAAACAAAAATGGAAGGAAAGTTCGTCTTAAGTCCTGTTTGCAAAGAATTAAATCACAACTTACTTGTTGTACAACAGAATATCTGGAACCCAGATATCCGCGGGCTGTACATGAATCTCCTTGATTCCATTGTACTTATCAGGATCCCATTTAAGGTGAGGGTTATTCCAATACTGTTCAACAAACACAGGGAATTGGGTTTAGTCGAAGATTCGTAACTTTATCACAAAAAATGGGGTGATTATATTTTGCTAAGCCCAAACCATGAAGCGAAGCAAACCGTTCGTCAACGGGAGTCGTAAAAGCTTATTTACTTTCCTAATTTGCATGTACCCAAAAGTGCGGAACATTTTTTAAATTCTAGACAGAAATTTTCAGAAAAAAGAAAAAAAAAGTCTGCTTGCTTTGACCAAACTGACGAGTGATCAGTTTTGTAGTTCTAATAAAATACGTAAGACCCTAAGAAGCGCGATAAAAATAATGACCGGCCTAAAAAACATTAAAAAAAAAACAACATAAACTTCAGTAGCTGGGAAACAAGAATCCCAGACGACAGTAGCTGGAACACTTAAGGTGGATCACTTATCCCCCCTCCAACAATGAATGTTGGAAAATGTCGCCAAGCCTTGTTTTTTCGAACTAAAAGGGAAAAAATAACTGATTTTCAAAAACTGTGAGTTGGGGAAAGGGGACAAATTGCTTGTTCTCCCAACCTTTCCGTCTGGGATTGAAAGCTTGTGAACCTACCTGGTTAACCCAAGCATATGTCTTGATAAACTGGTCTTTAGCGCTCTGTGAAGAAACAATCAAAACCAAATTTACTGTTTCGCTGAAGTCCGGGTGTACAAAGTTGAAAAACTATTACCTCATACTACAAAGTTTCCATAAAACAAGCGGTATAGAAATAATAATTTCTAACATGCTTTTTTCCCTACTAAATCATTCATTACTGGCACACGGATAAGAGAAAGAGAAAAACTGTCACGCAATATGACTTACCACATCAATAATGCGAATCAGTTGGAAGTCAAACGCGACTGTAACAGGTCCAGACTCGTTGATAACCGGGTGCGTGTATTTGTTGTAGTTTTTAAACAAGTCTTTATAGAGTCGTGTTTCATTCGTTTCCATTGCGGCTTCTGTAAAGCGACGAAACGAAAGAGAGAGAAAACAAACCGACTTGGAACGCTGTTAGGGTTTTTGAAACCAGCTGGGCGTTGATTTTGTGGAAACACTCGTCTGAAACGCGCGCGCCAGCGTGGTGGCTGTCATAATTCAGCCGGTTTCTTAAACTGACTTCCCCTTTCACTTAAAAATTATACTACAGTGCTATTGCCTTGAAAAGCTTTTGAAGCTCTTGTCAAACTCCGCAAATGCATCGCAAAGACTAAAACTTGACTGTAGACAAGTGAAACCGTTGGTTGCCGTGCGCAAAATCGTTTTCTAAGCCTATTGGGATGCATGCAGGCCGCATCTCCAAGACATCTTAAGAATACTTGAGCTAATGTGTGCAAAGCTTACTATATTCATAATGAATTCAAACAAAGAAAAACAAATATCTCGTTATTCAGTCGCTATTCGTAGCTAGTCCTTACCTGCAATGTAACAAATGAGCGCCAAAAAGGAAACAGTTTTTCCAGCTTGAATCATTACTTGGTTTTCAAGCACGGACAGCGAACACCTGGAAATAGATTCTCAGCTCACATCTGAAGGAGGAAGCAAGAAGAGATTGTTACAGAGCTTCAGACTGATAAATTTGCGTTTTTGTTCCTTAATGTTGGTGTACCTCCGTGGTACACCAATACGGCGGGCGGAAAATAGTGTAGACATCTGGAACTTACTTTGACTATCAAGGCGACTGATTATCTGTACTGAACAAACAAGCGTTTACATAAGCAGTTTTCACAATACTTAAACTTCTGAATAGGCTAAAAATCATGAAATAAGAATGTATTTTTCGACAAACGCGTTCCTAACTTTATGTCACGCACCGCAATTACTGAAATTCAAAATGCGCTGGTTTCCAGACGAAGCAAGCTGCTGAGCTGAAAAGATGTAAAGAGAAATAAATTTACCCCCCTTATGCCTGATCAGTATAAAAACGTTGGTGTCTGTTTAGTTTTGGATTTTAGAACATGATGACATCATGTGCATGCGAAGAATACGACTCACGGAGTTCGGTCTGTACTCGCGTCCTCAATCAAGATTTTTCCATAGAGACCTCGTGCTCGGTTAATAAGAGCTAATTCAGTTTTCATTATTCTTCCGTGGATATGAACAGCGGTTTACGGGCCTGAAAACACCAAGACCTGGATCAAGAAGCAAATTCTCTTCACGGCATCACAAAACATTGTTACAACTGAAGAAACGTGGAGAGAACAATAAAACCACAAACAGGAAAATGCTTTCTTGATGTACTGTAGAATTTTCTCTGTATAAAACCATAGCTACCGTTATCAGTAAGAATTACATCAGACGTATTTTATACGTAAAATGCACTCTGAATCTTCTGTTGTGAAACATTCAAATTATAAAATGAGGCATTTTTGTTACAAATTTTATTGTTAAGTTTTAATCTACCATTTATGGGCCGTTATCCGGCGACCTTAAATTTCGTTGGGCCTGAAAGGTTCACTTGGCTAAAATGTATTATTTACTCAAGCAAATAATCTTCGAAAAAATTAAGCTACTCATCTTTTGATATCTATGGCAACAGTTTATTTGAGCAAAGTTTATCACGAGTGGCTCTGTTATTTTGGATCTTCTTTAGCTAGAGAACGGGTAAGGAGCTCAAAGTCCGTGTACGAGGTGTTTTAAAATCTGGTAGGCCCGAAGTTATTTATTCCGGCAACACTGGAAGCCTTGATTTTGCATAAAGTTAAAATACGTTTCCATTTGTAGTTTAAACGGTAATGACTTGCAAGTCAATAAGTTCGGTTTATTTGACGTCATTTTTATGACTGGCCTCTAACTGGCTGCCATTAGCAGATACAAATATCGTATTCAGTTATGACTTTGTAAAAGTCTCTTGGAACATTTTGTAGCTCATATCAGAGAAAGTGCAGATATTTTCGTGTGTTACGTTTTCGCATTATTAATAGCATAGCTCACAGCCAAAGTTGCTTGTCTTCAGGTATGACATACCATTCAAAAAACACTTCTACTGTTTATAATTAAACTATTTGCATTCAGGCGGGCTCTTTTATAGACAAATACATTATGTAAGCAGATATGTTTGTTATATGCAAATTATGCATAGTGGTAAAAAACACATGTATCAATTTAAACAAGCAAACTAGTGTGTTCCTTTATGCATAATAGTGTTATACAAGAATGGTTTTATTTATTTCATTTAAAGTCGATAAAGCTCCAATGTAAACTACTGGATGTTAACAGAGAACTTTGCACTCGATTTTTGTGCTACAGATCTTTTTTTATTAGCGTGGGGCTTTGATTAACTATCGACTTCTTATTTCAATAATAATAGCACGCAATAGTAGTTGATATTAGGCCAAAATACGGGAAGTAATAATTAGAACAACCCGTACTGTAAAGAAGAAATGAATGAAGTTATGAGTTGCAGCGAAAACTATTTTTGAGTGTCGTCGATTGTCGCCTCGAATTGCCTTATGCAATCTAAAATTTTCATCTTTGTTTAGTATTTTCACACCTCTGTCACAGGTTGTACATTAATTTTCATTTTATTTAAAGTTAAAAATCGAAAATTTTCTTTTGCTCCTTCCTTTAAAATAGCGTTTATTTAAGTGTTGTCGAAAACTGACGACTTTGTACTAACATCTCAAAAACAAAAAAAACTTTGAGAATTATTTTTGATTTTATATCAGTTTTTCGCACCTTTTTGTTTCATGTTCCGTGCTGCTTCTCTTTAAAAAATTTTGTCATTAACATCTTCTACCACAACCATACACCACGATGGAAGCAACCTTTTTAGGGTATATTTTCGATTTTTTTTTTACGTATTTTAGTATACATTTGAACACTGTAGTATGTTAAATTTTACTTATTATCTTAGAGATCACAACTAAAATTTTGTTAGCGAGATAAATGGCACTATCGAGGCTAACAATCGTTTACTTTCAACTGAAATGCTAAGAAATACCTAAAAATAAGTGCAAGGCAGAAAATAACACAGTTATTCACCACTAAAGCCCTGTCGCTTTTCAAGTACGGGAATATTAGAATCCGTTTATGCTGAGTGGCTTACGTTGTGTAAAATATTTATAAATGTATATTTTTACATGACGCACCTCAGTCGAACATCCAGTTGTACTTTGTCTCAGTGCATTGTGAAAAATGGAAATCCAAAGAACCTACAGGTTTTTCTATTCATACTATTTCGAAATGTCCACTTCCTACAGCAAACAGTTCTAATAACCAACGTTTGTCATGTTGGTCATGTGACGCAAAGCTAAATAGTACAGCATTAACTGCTGTTAAAATGTCATCGACGTTGTCCGCAGCTGCAGATAATGAGCGACTTACAGTATTCATTTTGTAAAGAAGAAATTAAAATGTAAATGAACCATTATCATCCCGCCGGTCACGAGTCTCTGAGAACGCCGATCTAAGGTCTGAGAACAAAGGTTAAGTTGTCAGATGTGTTACAAAAGCAAACTTTAATATACTGTCATTTCAAAGTCGTGTTCTGATAATAAGTTCATGTAGGCGGTAAAAGGAGGCGGTCCTAAGACTGCATTGGGTTTTCGTTGTAGATTTTGACAAAGATTGTGCACAGATCGCGTGCAGTCCTTGTCCTGCAGGGCATGTTATCAGTGTCCACGCGAGTGTCAATTTGCTCAATATATGCATAAACACTGAACCCATCTGATCTTAAGAGGCGTTAATGCAGTGATAGATGTCAATATGCTGGATACACAAGAATAAACTATCCTGGTATCCGCGAAAAGTTAATGTAAACAATTGACATGATATTTAAATTGAAAAGCTTTTAGTGTCGACCCACTTTTTTTAGAGTAAATTTTTCCAAAACTTATCGCATTGCTAAGAGAAGCTTTCGTCTCTCGAATCCTTTCGGATTTTTGTGAATTTAAATGACGTTGAAAGCGGTGGAGATAATGCAAATAAATCCACGGAAATTTGGATTTTGCGTGTTTCCAACATCGGTAATAATGAGAGCATAGGTGACAAACATACAGCTGCATACAAATTAGGTGATACAGCTTGATCTCCGGATAGGAAAAAAACTCGTGCAGTTTTCAATTCCCTGGCTGACTGTTACAGGAAAAACCTGATCAGTTTGAAAAAAAGACCCTGATCTAGTACGTAGCCACTTGAGGGCAGTTTTAAAGTTAACAATATACTCTCAGTACTATGCGAAAAAAAAAATCAATCTCTTTTAGACTTCACAAGCCTCCGAGAACGAGCTTCTTGTTTTAATTGTTGCAAAGACAGAAACACTCGATCGAAACCGAAGCAAGGAAACAAAACTGGTCATGAAATGTTGGCTCCGTCTTATTGCATGCATTTCTTTTAATTTATTCGTGCGAGACAGTGGCGGATCTAGGCGAGGGGCCCGGGCGGCCTCCCTTATTTTGGGTAAATAAAGAAGAAATGACTGAAGAAGGAAAAGCCGGCAGGGCAAGTGAAACAAACTCCCCCCCCCCCCCCCCCCCCCCCCCCCC